GACTGTATTTTACATTATTTTAGAATGTTGGCCGGTTTATAGCCTTGATTTAATGCATTTAAACAAGGCAGTTAATGTTTAGCTCCCTTTGTGACATGCTATTTAAATTGATATTAAAAGTGTTTTGCCAAGACAGCCATTTCATTCTCAGATTGTGTTTAACTTTGCCCTAAATAGATGTAGCCTGCCAACATTCAAAACAAAATGGCTCTCATTATAGACAACCTTAATTTCAAAATAAAATTAGAATCCTCCAAACAGACAAGAACTACAAAGTAAATGCTTTGCAGATGAGCTACAAATTACAATCAGTAATATTTGAGCATATTAATTACAGGTATTCAGTGATGTAATTGTGAGATGTACTGTATATGCATTTGAAACTCCAAAACCAGAGAACAAGACATTATAATGCAAATGTATTTATGTTTGACTATGTTATGCTTGAATGTAATTATTCAGTCAAATGAATATCCACAGGCATTTATGTGCAGTAATTAAATTGTTCTCAGTGGTTTGGAGGATGCAACCGCCAGATCAAGTTAAATAATTGCACACTGTTGCCAAAGCATTAACAATGCTTTCCACATGGTCCCCTGCAGAGGAAGATGATACCACTTTCATTTGTACAGTTGTATAGAAAATGACACCCCTTTGTAATAGGCGCGTCTGTTATCATCTGTTTTTTTGAGGAAAGTTATAAAATAATTTTTTCACTATTTATTCTTTCTTTTGTGAACAGTGTCACACCTTGGAAGAAAGTCCAAATGTTTCAGGGGTCAATGAAACTGTAAATGTCATGGCCAGTCCTCTCTGTTTCAATGATTGTGTTAGGTCTGATTAATTGAATTCATTCAGCCAAATGTAACATTATGCAGTTCTACTGGATCTTTTCCTGATTAAAGTCTTTGTACTGAAACAATTCCTTCTGTTCTTTGAGTGTGTATGTGTGTTTGTTATTCTATCTCTTCATTCATTTGTACTTAGTAAAATCACAAAAGGCATGGCCCACGCATTGAATTCTGTAGACAGAATGGATAAAGCACACTGAGCTGTTTTAAAACACCACAAATGTTGAACTACTATACAATAAATACTAATGCAGAATAGATAAATAACACACCCTAACTGCTATCCTTTTTCAAACACTCTGCTGAGACATTCTGATGAGTTTGGAAAATGAGAATAGTTAATCAGTGTCAAATAGTCAGTCAGTCAAGTCAGTAGCCAAGTGGTAATTATATGCTTGTATTAGCAAGGTGACATGATGTACCGAATGCCTGCGAGATTCTCTGTTTCAGGTTTGGATTACAAAATAAGCCATTACCAGGTCTTTTATGCTGGGTCTATTTCAGTTTGGGATTTTTTAATGCTCTTTTGAGTCCATAATTGTATTTATAATGCTGTCTCCAGCACATGATATTTTGTTAGAATAAACCTGTCAGGTTTTTATTATTCCTTCATTACTCAGGGCGTCTTTCTAACTCTCACATGGAGAAAACATCATCATGATACCAATAATTCAAGCAAATGTTTTGGTGAGGGATGAATTTCCATATTTATTTACAAAGAGAGCTGATGTATCTGGAGCCTACTCGTGGCAACTTGAGTCAACAGAAGAAAAACGAAAAAATGTCTCAATATTTAAAATTTAATTGATTATGACTTTTTTTAAAGTTTTTCAAGGGCATTTCTTGAAAGGTGGTCAATTAGAGCCAGTCAGACTAGTTAATGTGGATTAAAATAATTATCACAAATCTGAAATACATTAAGGAAACTGTAACTGAGTTTTTGAGTATGTGAATTTATGGAGCTTTGTCGTGACCTGTTCCTGTTGAAATATCTTTCAAAAGATAAGACTATGCTGCTATAGACAGAACATCTGTATTTGTTTACTTAAATGTGCACCTACAGCAAGTTTAATGAACACACCAGATCACTGTAGCATATTCCTTAACTTTCTAATGCCATGTGAAATAGGGGCATTCATGAGAAGTCCAGGCAGCGTTATGTTTTACACTAAAAGTCTTTTGCTAATGCAAAATAGTTGCATGTGAACATAAATCCTGGGATATAAGACTGCAAGGTTTAACATTCCGTCAAATCTCTGGTTCACATGTATACATTCACTGTGTTATCCCTAATGGGATTTTGTCTGAAACATCTGCACTATGGTGTCAAAGGACTGTCTTGTGCTTTGCCTTATCAGTGCTATACTGTTATCTATTTTCCACATGTATGTCTCTGTCTAATGAGGCCCTTAGCAAGTGGGTCATCCAGCCCTGTGTTATAGCGCTGGGCCGGACCTGTCTGGGATCGTAACAATGACTGGAGCTGTGGAAAATGAGAGCAGACAGATTGTTTCTAGTGTTAAACACAGCTTTGTCTTTGAAGATGCTTATGACAGAGCTCTGTTTTAGTGTGTTTAATGTGTTTTGCTTCTATGGTACATTGTTTAAAGAATTGTGCTTCAATTTCATCTAGCAGGAGGCAAATGGCAGCAATAACAGTTTCAGCCTTTTGGCTCTTTTGGCTCTACAAATGCACTGGAGAAAATTTGTAAAGACGTGGGCCGAGATTAAAATATTTTGGCTTTCCCTTCCTTATTATTATGGTTCAGATATTGTTTACTTAAGTCTTCTATGTAATTATCAGGACTACTTTGCTCACAATGCTCATGACACGTGATGTGAAAAGCAATCTGCAGTTGAATTAAATTGAACTTACCTGTAACACGGTGACTGTTATTGACAGAAGCTAATATTCTCATCAGAAATTCTATATTTACATAATGTATTATACATCTTACGTGAATATTCTACCCAGAGGTCCGTTCCATTATTGAGCTGATAGTTCTGCAGCCATGTCCTTTGTAGGTGCAGGTGCACTTAATTAAAAAATAATATTTTTAATTAATTGCTTTAATTTGTTGTTCACCGTAGACTAGACAGGATACTCGACAACCAACAACTATCATCATATTAGTTTCCCAATCAGTAATTCATAGATGAATTTTATTGTTGGTTTAAATGCCACATTTCTTAGGTTTTATTTTCATAAGATACACAAGTGTCTAGGCCATGAATATTTGTGAAAGTGTACAGTGACTAGAGACAGAAAGGATCAAAGAGAGAGGGGTTAATGTGAAGCTGACTGCAATGTCTGTTGTATGTTCATGGTACCTTATCCTTCCAAAGGTCACAAGGACACTGAATCTGAATATTAAAAGCTATACATTATAGAAATATTTATGCATACAAAAGCCACATAGCACCGCACAAAGACTCAGTCTAGCTAAAAAGAAAAACTGTCTAACATTTACCTGAATTGGGTTAATAAACTCATGAATAACTGGGTTAAGATCATTTCTTATTTAAAATTAAAAATGTTACATTAACCTGGAGAATCAAAAAGCCTTTTAATCACAGGTACATTAACAACGAATACAATCTGAAACCCACTACCTCGCCCACAAATAGCTGAAAGACGAAAGCTATTATCGGGGTCATTGTTTTCACTTGCTTCAAATGAACACACATGCTATAAAAGAGTGATTGGTAATGCAGGACCACCTTTGCCTCTATCTTTAGCATTGGGATCTTTCTTCAAAATCTTCAGTTCAAAGTTCCATCATAACTAGAAAGCCACATTTGGCATGCCAAAGCAAAAACATCATAAATATAAAGAAGCAAGGATAAGATCTCAGAGCTTCAATGTGCAGTCCATGTGCATGTGTTTCTTGTATTGTCAGGAGTGAATTGATCTTTTGTGTATATGTGTGCAGCATGTCATGCATTCGTTGGTGTACTTTATAAGAGGGTGTGCTATAACAATGCAAACAACCGACTTCCTGTGTGTTTCTGGGCTTAGTTTAGTATGTATGCTATGTATGCACTACCCCCACTACATCCCTGCACATCAAAGACACAGTTGGAAATGTCACTGAATTCAGAGGTGTTGCCATCTGCAATAACCAAGTGTGATGATCGTTCAAGTTCCTTTCTGTTCATGCTTAATGAAGTCTGAGAAGACGTTCTGATTTCCGAGTGAAGTCAGAAATGTTTCTGGAAATGCATCAAAGTAAAATTATTGATTGACCTACAGTATAAAGTATTTAGTATTTGAGGGATCTCTGTTGCACTCTGACGTCTGCTTGACCCACTGAGACAAGAACAAATATGAAATATGAAAAGGTTTCATGTTTTTTTCGTTGAAAATATCCCAGCCTTGATCTTGTCGGCTGTCTCTCAGCTTGAAGGTCTCTGTTTTGATCCCAACAACATTTATGTATCATGCCATCCTTGAGCAAGGCACTAAATCCCGGCTTACTCATTATTAGAAGTAAGTGTTGGAAATGCTGAAATCAGACACAAATATAACTCGTAAAATTGTAGTCTCTGCTGAATGAAGCCATGCTGTGATAAGGAGTCACATTAAGGAAGAGCCGATGACAATGTGGCATGCCATTTTCAACAACATGTATGGAAAACATGATTACTCAGGATAGTAATATATGTGTCTTTGTTCCATTAACAAGAATTAAAAGTGCCAAACTATTGCTCAGTATAAATATAACAAATTATCTCTCATTTTGGTCAAATTCACAGACAATTAAGATTAACAGACAATTGTCTTGGCTTATAAAATAGAAATTCAATTTCATTTGAATGGAATGCCCTACGACACTAAGTGTGTTTGTCGTCATATGTCATGTCACTTTTTATTTATCATAAAAGCACTTCCTGCTATTTTCGCTATAAAATAGTGGACATCAATAATGGAAAAACTTGGACCAAACGAAACCATTTGTTCACGTTGTTTTGTTTCCGATTATGAAAACGAATGATCCACAACTCATTGTTCGTTCGTTAAGGTCGTTTAGGGGTTTTAATTGAGGAATGTAACTGTTTTACAATTAATTACTTTGACGTCACTAAGCTGGAGGCAAGGTTAAGGTTGAAACTAGAAGTTATGATAATTTTGTTTGCTGTGACTCTTACGAAGAGATTATATTGTTTGCTCTCATTTGGGTATTAATCATAATGGGAGATATGCCAAATTAAGTCACTGGAGAGGGCTTATGCAACTTATTTTTCAAACCAGCTAGAGCATCTGTTCTTCATTGATGAGGCATACCTCATTCTTTTCCATGCCAGCAGAAGTAACTGTTTGTTGGTTTCTTTTCTTTAAAAGTAATCTAAATAATTTATAAGGTCACTTGCTGGTTTATCTTTGTACTTAATCCACTTTTTCATGACTAAAAGCAAACACAAACATTTATGTCCTGGGTTTTGCCATCCTGGTCCTACAGAGCCTCAAGTCTGCAGGGACGTGTACCACAGTGCTAATGTTTTTGAATATGAAAAAAGGGACAAAATCACTTGTAAAACCTAAATTTATATTATGCATAGTCACCAAAGGAGAGAATTCAAGAATGTACTTATAGCATGACGTGATAATTGTGCTAAATGATACGGATATACATGTCACTCTCTGCAGACAGACACATTAATGTATGTGTTTTCGTTCTGTAAATTAGTGCAATTTATTTACTTATGCCATCATAATTACTTCCTTTCTAATAGACCATATGTACTCCCTTCCTTCTTAGATCCAAATTAAAGACAATATTCAATTTATCATTAGGACTAGGGCTGTCAGGATATCAGATTTTTGCTACACAACTATTATGGCCGAAAGAATTCACTATAACTATCATAGCAATATCCTTAGAAACTAAAATAATAATAATAATAATAATAATGCTACCAGTCAAATTCATGTTAAACTCTGGTTATTGTGCATTTTGTCTCTTTTTTTTTGAATGAATTACACTTAAAATATAAGTGTAGGAGGTGGAGAGTCTGTAACCTAGCTGTACAAAAACAACAATTACACGACTGGAAAGTGAAAAGGCAGCCAGATGAACTGATAAACAAAAAGTCCACATGGCCTAACGTCTGCCATCAATACAAGGCCATTACCAACTGAAACGAAAACACTTGTAGGGAGCAGGTACTGCAGCTACTGTACTTTATATATTAACATGATATCAATATTTCATTTTTTAAATATCACAGTTATCGTCCATACCAGTATATCGCAACACCCTTAATTATGAATTAAAGATATATCTGGGAAAATAAAATTGCTTCTGCAACTGTAGTGAATTATTTCTTACTGCATTATTTTGGACAACATGACCTCAACACATTGAGATCCCCCTTTGATTTATAACTCAATGTGTCATATCGACTAGCCTAAATGCAGAACTCTTTAAAAGTACACTTCCAGTGGATCTGAAGTTGTTAGTAAGTGGTATCCTCTTCCAGGCTAATGGAAACTGAGAACACATTTGCTTGTTTGACATGTTCTTGTTGAACAGGGCTTTCTGAGGTGGAACAAATTGAGTTTTGTTTATGCTTCGTCAGTGTGAGCTGGTGGTGTAACACTTCGACCAGTGAACTAGAAAGCCAATTTCAAAGGCAGATGTAATCATCTAATTTATGCAAAACTTTGTTCTCTGTGTAGCCATCGCTACAACGCTCGTTCCTAATCCTTTAGGGGTAATCAACGGTGTGCTGACTACACACTCCACATGTAAACCTAATGTTCATCAAACACTTTATCCGCTGCAGTTTCTCCATCATGTGGCAACAGAATGAACTACAGACGGCGTTTTGTATCGAGTCTGTTTATATAGTATTTGCTAATGCCTGGTTTTTCAAATATTTATCTTCTTCTGTTTTGATAAGCTCCCATCCAACCTATTATTTACAAATGTAAACATAACTTTTTCACATTTAACTTCCTTTAAAAAGTATCATTATATAAATTTGCTGTTGTTCTTTCTGCTGTTTATTACTCTGCACTTGCAGTCTCTTCGTTTTAAAGGTGCAGTGAGTAACATTTAGGAGGATCTATTGTCAGAAATGGAATATCATATTAGTAAGAATGTCTAAAGTGTCTATATCTGCCACAAAATTTGTCAACAATAATGCCAATATGAATCCTGGTTTAGGTGGGAAAAAGCCTTTTTGGTATTGCAAATGTATTTAAAGGTCCTAAAAACCCATTTTCTCTATCAACTTCTTACTATGTCAAAGGGGTCGTACACAAACACACAATTTTATGGCAAAGTGAGAACAGCTTTGATTATTTCACATGAGAGATTTCTGCATTATACTGTCCTTTTCTCACTTATTTGAAGTTGGTAAGGCTCAGTTGGGAAAAGGTGATCCTTGTCACCATGTACCTCCAAGCACCAATCTGCAACATTTATCAAAATGTTGTAAAATGTATCAAATTGGTTGCTTATTTTTTCCTGACACTGTCAGTCAACCTGAGCTTTTTAACAATTCTTATTGTAGGGTGTTTTTTTAACAGTACTTTAAAGTATGGTACATCGAAGTAGCAACAGAAAAAAATGCTTCATAACATTATGTTATCTTTTAGATGATGTGATTCATCTTTCTGTCACAACTGGAACCAGATGGGTGTTTTGGCACCACTAATTAAAAAATGATTCACTCACAATATCCAGATCACAGAGCAATAATGGTTTTATTTGATTGCAGGGGTTTTCTACATCCAGTCAGTGGTATGGTGTACATTACATCACAGGGTTTCAACCAACCAGACACTCATCAACAAACAGCATCACTAGACAAACAATTAAAGAGAAGGTAAACAGTGTGACAGCAAGTCACACTCCGGTCCCCACAACATGGCAGTCTGCTCTCTTACTGTGGTGTCCTTTTTGAATATTAACTTTTTGTCTTCTCATGTCAGCAGACTAACAGTGTTACAAATTTCAACATATATTCCAGGAAAGAAAATGTCTGTTATCACATTTAGGGAGAAGGAGAGCGCACTGTGTGCCTTATAACCTTTGCAAGAGGACGGTCCATATCAGTCTCTCTGTTTCCAACAATACTGCAATGAAGGGAAGGAGCTAAATGACAAGTTACGGCTCAACCACAGCACAGGCAGTTCACACGCAAAACAAAAGAAATCTGAGAAATATTGTGAGATGATTCCACTGAACCTCACCAGCAGATCGGGTATACAGTAGTCTTCAGAGACCAGCCCAAACACAGACAAGCCTTTCATGATGATTCTTCTGTAATTCATGAGAGGAATGTCTTTACACAATGAATTCCCTGTGGTGGTTTGATGACTGAGTAGCAGTAGAAAGTAAAGCTAAAAAGCAACATCAGTTTATAATAAACAACTAATAGACAACATATTACAGTAAAAAAAGTAACTATAAAAGTCCAATAAAAATTGATGTTGTGCACAAAAGGCACTCAAATCTTCTGCTCCACTTACACAGTGTCTATAAATAAAAAAACAAAAATATTATTGTTAAATATTATGATGATAATTTCACCTTTTGAACTTGTGTGCTTTCTTCGTATTTTAATAAACGTATGCTTTTTTTGCAACATTATCTTCATCGATTTCCACCGGTGCAAAGCTGTAACCAGGACAGACAAATAGAACTATATGGATAAGCTTAGTGATTGTAATATTATCTCCAGATCATAACGCCCTCTTAAAGGTGACGGTATCCACTGGTTTGTCACAAGAAGAAGCAATACCAGCAGGAACCAGCAGAGGATGTGAGTGCACTGTTTGACTTTAAATAATGTATTGCCTTTTTCTGGCTGTAGGAGCTCTGTGTGTGAATCAATCCGTTGACAACAAGCAAATATAGTCAGCTCACATGTATCTCAGTTACACTGCAGAATGTACGGACTGACTGCAGTTGACAGTGGAATCTGGTTTACATGCTAATATTTAAGTTGATTTCACTCAATCAAGCATTACTCTCTTTCACTTTTATTATAGCAACTGCTACTAGCAGCTTTTCATCATTCCCAATCCCCATAAATGTTAAAATCCAATATTGAATTAATTTGTGCGTTTTACCAAGGCAAGGCACCACATACAGCCATTGTTTAACTGCCGCAGAATATGAGTCAGACATTACAGCGCAAAGCATGCAGAACAGAGCAGGCTTTTTGGGATGCGGATAACAAGGTCTCTGGACTAGAGCTGTCAGAATGACAAGAGGTACAGTACATATAAATCTATTTAGTTTTCTTCCAGCAAAAGAAATAAGTCTGCAGCCAGAGCATAACTGTATTTATCAACAAGGATAAGAAAATGGGTGGGAAGGGTGGAAATAGGCGAGTGTGTCAAAAACATATATTCAGGCTTTGTTCGTTCAACAGCAATCAGGTTTTCTACAGTACAATTACCAAATGCATTCTAAGCTCAGAGCACAAGGTAAACTTTTTTACCTTTTTCACACAGTTAAAAAGAATGTTTGTAGTTTACTGAATATGATAAGAAGGTGGTTAATGATCTTTACTCGAAGTGCCATTCACAGACAACCCTTTGCCTTTTTTTTGTATCAGCCTGTACAAGATTAACACTTCAAAAATGACGAGCTATATAATATGTACAAGGTTACCACAGGATTCCTACAGTACATTAGTTGATGCATTAGTTAAGTCTGCCCACAGTCCAACCGTACATGGTGGTGGGGGACAACTTGCTTTGCTAAGTTCTGGTTCGTATGTCTCAGACTCCAGAGATCATCTTCATGCCAGGATGTTTTTATCTTTAGCTGTGAACAGGACGACTGCAAGTGCAATATCTAAAGTACCACACAGATAGCAGATTTAAAATAAAATACTGTAAGATCCCCACATATTCCTTTGTCAAATATTTGGACATCTGAAACTTGATTCAAGAAAATTAGGGTTTCCGACTAATATCTTACGCTTCCAATGACCATATGAGAAAAGCCCACATCATCATCTCTCAATAATGCAAGTCTTTATTGTTGTCCTTATTTTATCCGAACCCGGCATGCAGAAGTATATAATGTCACTAAGTTGTTACTTTGCTCAACATACACTGTATTATAGTACAAACAGAAAGCATGGCGACTTCAAGTAAGTTTGTATGTACAGCCTTAAGGCCTGCGACCTAAATGGTAACCAGACATGGTATTTAAGCCTGAATGTCACCCGTCCAGACGAGGCGTTTCATCCACATCAGCAGGAGTGACTGAAACATCAGCTGGACAACGTGTGCTGTGTGGAAACTAATACTACATGTCACACAAGTATTGCTTTACTTGCATTCATTGTATCTCTGGAACGAGAACATGGTTACAGATATTTTTTTGTTGTTGTTGAAACTGAGGTAAATCTGAAATATATGTATTGTTATACACATATTTTTTTATTAAATCAAGTTTCAAAGAGAGTGGAGTTCTACGCTATCACACCTCTACAGCTTCTTCCACCGTTTTATCACCATGGTAAATGTTGTAGGCTCGCTTCAAGAGCTTCCTGAATATATGAATTAAGTCAGGCAGAAAACAGAGAGGAAAATATCCATATCTGCTTCTCACATATCAGCACTAATTTCCATTAGCTTTCCCCTCACTTTACAACCTTCCCACCACTGCTACATGGTACCAGACTTATCTCCAGCATCACTGGACGTAGTCATGTTAGAAGCAGCAGCTGTACTGTTACTTGGAAACATCTTCTCAGTGGGAGTTACAGCAGGGCTGCCGACCCCTGAAGAGCTGGAGCTGCTCGAGCGATGCTGAGTAGGAGGAGGGCGCACTGGCCTCATGGGTGGGGGGCGTAGCTGAGCCCCAGCCAGCCGGGCAGAGAGAGCGGGTTTGAAGGTGGTCATCATCTCAGAGGTAGAGCTGCTGCTGCGGCGCATGGCTGCATCCGGGTCACGGATCATAATGGTATGCAGAGGACTGCCAGGCTCAGAGCTAACTGGGTTCTTCATGGGCTCCAGAGTGTCCAAGACCACGTCGGGAGCCTGCTTCACAGTGTTCTGTCGCTCCAGCTCACGGAGCTCATGGAGCGCTGTAGTCATCGTCTTCTCTATGTCCTGGTTGAGGAAGGATGAAGATGAGGGGGACAAAATAATAATTAAAGTAAAAAAAAAGATGCAATACTTATTTTTCTTGTGTGTTTAATTGTATGTATTTAAAAGCCTAGCAGTAGAGGATCTGAGAGCTTGTGAAGGCTTATAAAGTCTTATCGAGACTGATAGAGTATGCAATGTAGGCCGGTTCCAAACCAAGCGCTTTAAAAACAAGTAAAAGAACCTTAAAATCTAAAAGATACTGGGAGTCAATGGAGTGTAACTTAAACAGGGGTACAGGGGTAGTATGTTCTCTCTTCCTTGTTTTGGTCAAAAGTCTGGCAGCACAGTTCTGAATAAACTGCCTACAGTTTCCTACATTTATAGGAACCCCTTAGTTTTCCATTAATTTCTGCAAACTTCAAACTTGTTGTGTTGTGTAATCCATCATAGTAAATTTAAAGTCTGCAATCTTTCATTATTGCTGCATGTTAATGCAGTTCCTACGGAAACAAATGCACAACTTTGCGTGCATGGAATGTAAAAAAAAAAAAACACATCCACATTTCTAAAAGACGGCAGCTGGCTAACATTACTAGTGTGGCAGCATTTTTTATTGGGGATACTTCATCACTTAAACCTTTTAATGTTTATTAAATTGTGAGATTTTAGATGAATTGTTATTTGTGTGTTTTTTGTAAAACACAATCAAACGGCTGCATCCAATATACTGCATATCATTTTGAAATGACCCATCAAAGCCCATCAGTTTGAGTCAAGTTAGTATTAATTTTTGGTACTAAGACCAGAGTGCAAACAAACATATAAACAAACTATATCAAAAGAGTATGTTTCTCTGTATCATTTTTGCCTCTACCTGAAATTTCCCAACTTACATCAGCTAGAGCTTCGGTCTCCAGTGATTTGTGGTCCCCGAGGCTGCTGTGACGAGTGGCCCCCGGCACCGGTCTCAGAGGGTGACCCTCAGGATAGGCCTTCCTGTCTGGGTAGTTGATGCTTCCTGCACTGCCAAAGGTGCCAATGCGCCTCTTCTCTGGGCTCTCCATATGACCCTTGCTGATGGACACCTTGTGTGGGCTGCTGGGACAGGCTGCAGCCCTCGGCGGAGTGTCAGCTACTCTGGTTGGGCTGTGTGTGTCTTTACCACTCCGACGACGAGGGATTGCAGCTCCGTCGGACCGTAGCCTTACCCTGCAGACAGGGATCAGATCAGACCAACAGTCAAACGGGAAAACTCCTCAGTAGCACTCACTAGAACTTCTATAACAAGAAATGAGTTATTCTTATGTGTTTCCACCTCCCCATGACTCCTCCAAAGTTGTAATCAGGTGATTGTTCACATGGTGATGGGACATCATTTTTGGATGAACCCTTATCATCCAGCAATGGCCCACTGCTCGCTTCACTATCTGCTTTCTGGCTGAGGTTATCTGAGAAAGCATCATCCCTGAAAGAGCAGAGGCACTGATGGTGAGCATAAAACACACACAAGAAGTACATGTACTTTATACCTACAGTAATTACATTTTAAAGGAATATTCAGTGTAACATTGCCCAACCCAACAGTTTAGTAATATTGTCAGCTTTACTGATGATGATTTGAAATGTGAGTGAGAGAATTACACAACACAAGATAAAGTGCTGTTACTCACAGGTCTTGTACTACAATGTACTGATGTGGGATGAGGCCATCCACGCCATTGTGACGTCCCTCCCACCAGTCTTCAGATGCTCTGTGATACAGAAGCAGAGAGGCTCCCTTTTTGAAGGACAGCTCCCTGGGAGTACGTCCCACGTAGTCAAACTTAGCAATGGCCTCAATCTGTTCAACCTCTGAAAGCATAAATATACATATATATTATGTATATACATTAACAAAAAGCTTTATCAACTTCTAAATAGACCCCAACATAGATCAAAAAAACGTATATACAGTGATAAAACAAACAATAAAAAAAAAAAACAAGAGATCTTGGACTATGTGCTTCTCAATCTTTGCTGCATTCACATTATTGTTATGATTCAGAATCAGTATACAATACTGTCTCCAAAAAGTTGAAGTCAGTATCACTCAGTTTATATTGTAAATCCCTCAAACATACTAAAGAAATACAAAGCTGAAATACAACAATCATATATATGGAGAAATTATTCAGCAATAACTAGTGATTGAATGACAAACAGCCACTTCTGTTAAAACATGCTGTATGAGAAATAACTATTATAGGTCACAATGAGTCTGATGAATAAAGAGGATTTTGCCTAAATTAAAAAAGAAAACCGTGTCTTGTCTGCAGTGTATTTTACCATGTCAGCCAGCAGGGGTCAGCCAGAGTTAACTGTATGTTAACAGTTCTGCAACCCTATTTTGAAAAAAAACCCCTCAAATTTGGTTTCAATTCCAAAGTAATGAAAATAGAAAAAGGTACATCCTGGTTGCTTAGTTCTGAAACCAAATTATTTTTCTTTCATTATAAGTTAACTGCTGCCAGAGGACACCAACTGACAAACAGTCCGAGTTGTCGATTTCAAGTAAGAGTAAGAAAAGAAAGAAAGGGTCAGCAGCCCTCATTACAAATGCAGCCAACAGCACAAATGACGCTCAAAGACAGGGTTACCCCAGTCTGACCTCACACACTCGATATACACACAAGTACTTGGACCTGTCCACTGACTCTTCACATACGACACCGGAGATACTATTCTGTGCATTACCCGTGTTTTGGCTTTCGTGCCTGGCCCTGTTATGCATTCAAAGCTCAGAGGAGAATTTGGGGAAATACTGCACAAAGGAGAAAGTCTCAGGAGAATTGCTGACTAACACTGAACAAAGAGCAAGTGGGGGAAGAGGGAGAGGGGGTGGAAAGAGGAGAAGGACTCTCTCTCACACTCACACTCACACACACACACACACACAGACACAGACACAGAGAGAAAGACAGATCAAAGAGGCAGCATTGCATGCCAACACTGTTTACTCAACTTCAAACATCACAAAGGCCTTTGCAATCATAAGCTGTTGCAGCACAAACCTCCCAACTCATCTCTCAGTCAAAAGCACTAAATGAAAAAGGTCAATCTATACAGCTATCTTATCCACAAGGACTACTCAAATCACATTGCAAATATTCTCATGTGAAAACCATGTAATACTGTTTGCCAAGATGTGAACTTCACTTCGATTTTTTGTTTTGTATGCAAAGTATAAAATGGTCACACGTCTAAATGTAAGCTGTATTATCAGAAACAAGTATTTTAAGCTAGCTCTGAATGTATTTGGTCATAAAGCAAAAGTAAAAAACTGACTTAAGAAAAAGTCAGGGAATCACCAAATTTGTTCCCGAGGGGAACATAAATATCTGGACCAACTTTAATGGCAATCTGACCAATCGTCAAGAAATTTCACTCAAAACCACAAATGTCAACATGCTGGTGGCACTAGATGCAAAGTCAAAAGATCACCAATGTCAGTTCATTCTCAGGGCACCATGAATGTCATAACTAAATGTCATGGCAATCCATCCAATAGTTCTTGAGATATTTCATTCTGGACCTGACTGACAAACAGACCAACAGATCAACATTGCCATCCCTGGGGACATACCTGGGTAATAACAACGCCTCTTCTTGAAAAACGATGTACTAACCATCATCACTGGTGTGTGGTTCAGTTCCATTGTCAGCCTCGTCAATAGTTCCTGGTTCACTGTGTGGGCTGTCACTGTGTGAGCAAATGGAAAGTGAAAAGTCACCGCTCTATAGACATTGGAACATTACAAATATTTGTTTTATGAGCTTAAAATGAAACACTTTCCTCTGAACCAAAACAACTGTAGTCTCAACATAACTGTTCTTTGCTAACCGCCACTACTCACCAGTACTCCTCCCCCCCAGTCATGCACTTTTCATACACTGGGCCGTCCAGCTCACGTTGATTGGGAAAGATGAGTTCATTGTGGATGATGATGGTCTTGATGACCTCATTAACATGAGCCTGGCACAATACAGGATCCTGTCCATCTGGAATGGGCATCAGGGTTGGGCCAAAGCAGATAGCCAAATTGTATGGATCCATCATGTTCTCGTCACTGTACTGGGAGACACTGAGGGACGGGACAGGGCAGCGTTGTGTGTTTAAAGATGTAAGCAACCTTTAACAACATCAGGTAACATAAAAACTGTACGTATAAGTTGTTGTCTAGTGGTAGTCTGTAATGTTTTTTGTGCTAGGGCTTTCCTTTTGTTTATAAAACTTTGTTCTGCAGGCAAACCTAGTAAAAGGGGCATTAATAACGTCCATTATAAGAGGACAGGTATCCTGCTTTAACGAGGCATGAGTTTCCGAGACCATAAATAACTTCTAAAACACTGCAGACAGATGTAGCAATAAATAGCAGGTGGTTTTTTTTTTTCGATCTTGTCTTTTCACTTGACTGACTATTTTGTGTTTGTTCAACATGGATTTTCCCCATCAGAATCACATTTACATGCGAGTTAAGTTCAAGATTCAATTACCTCAGTAATGTTTGTGCAAAGAATAAAGTAATCTCTACATGCTTGTCTGTATGCACCAGGACCTGTGGCTTATAATGCAATTTGAATCAGTGCAAACTCACTGATTGAGAAAAGCAAAAAGGTATCTCATGACGATAATGATGGCGCGAGAAAGAGTCACAGTAATCTGCTGGATGTGATGCGCTCTCTCAGCTCCAGACTCCAGCTCTGAAACACAAAGGACATACATTGACAAGTGGAACAACAGTGGCTTGTACCGCAATAAACAGGATAAAAGCTTTATTTATACATATATATATATATATATATACACATATATATATATACATATATACATATATATACATATATACATATATATATATACACATACATATATACATATATACATATATATACATATATATATATACATATATATATATATACACATATATATATATATATATATATACATATATATATATATATACATATACATATATATATATATATATATACATATACATATACACATATATATATATACATATACATATACACATA